GGGAACCAAGGTCGAAGCTGGACAGGGAACTGCGAGTCGGAGTCAGCGACGCGAGAGCTGGAACGCGCATGTGCACCGCGCGCGCGTTACCGCGCGCGCGCTGGCGCGCGTGGAAAAATGCACGCTGCCCAATTTAGCGGTGCGACTTGTGCTCATGGGAGCCCTCGTGGGAGTCCGCTGGGAGCCCTGCGACGGGTCTCAGGAGCTTAAAACACGCAAAAAATACACGCGCGCAGACGCCGAGCCAACGCAGCGCGCGGGGGGGCAAGCGCCGGACCTTTCGCCCCGGGGCCTCGCGAGCGGGGGCTGCACGCCACTCGAAGAGGGGGGGGGGGCTGGGAGGGGGGAGGGGGGAAGGGGAGAAACTCTACCGACCATGTTCTTCCACGGCCTTGCGCCACTCATCTGGCGCCTCCTGCAAGAGAGATTGCCGGCGATCCGGGCCACTTCCCGCTGCCTGCAGAGCCCTCACACGCACGCACTTTGCCCATGGAAGGCGCGGGCGCCCTCCGGCGCGAGCACTGGCCCAATCTCTCGGCAGCGCGTCGGCTGCCGCCCCCGCCCCGAACACCATGCCCTTTGGAAGGCTGTCTGGACAAGCCGCTGCAAGTGCACTGTAAAGTTGAAGTTGGCGTCGCAGTAGAAGTACAGAGAATGGTTCGGCCTCTGCCGTGTATCTCGCTGCCGCGCTGCTTCTTCGCGGAAGGTGCGCTGGCGGAATATCCTGGATATGCCGCAGGCATTCCGCTTGGAAGCTCCACGGTCTGTCCATGCCTGCGCCAATTAAAATGTAATTTTCCAGCCGATATAAGAGATCCGAAACTACAAAGACTTCCAACACCTTGGTTTGATGATGTTTGCCCAGGTTGGCGTGACTCCAAACTGTGCAAATATGTTCGAGTGCCCCCCCTGCTTCCACAGGCCTTCGCGTTACCTCAAGTCTTTGATTCCCGTCAGCACTCAACAATCCTCCATTTTGCTTGCTCAACAATCCTCCAAAATACACCGCGCGGCCCGTGCACGCGATCGGGCTGCCATCCAGGCCTGCAACCGTCGCTTCTGAGCGGATCATCAACAGGTCATTGTCGTCGACGCGTTGAGCTCCAGACCAGATGCCCTGCCGGCCTGCATGATAGCACCCAGATGAACCTGAAGAGCTGCTGGGCTTGCGGCAACAGGCATCGCGTCGCCGGCAAATACCATCTTCCATAACCACATTATTTGTTGAACCATTGCCATCAGCAAACCTCTCCAGCTTTTTGTCGACCGCCCCCAGAAGCACCAACACGACGATGACAAACAAATATGGCGATACTGGGCACCCTTGCGCCATGCCCGCAGCCTGAGCTCTAGCGGCGGCGGCTGCATTCCCATCTTTGACAATGAACTCTCTGGCCCGGTGGATCGCCTGCGCCGCGTCGACCATAGCTGGGGGGGGGGCGCGGAAGTGGAAGATGGCAAATATCAAGCCTTCCGGCTCGATTCTGCCAAAAGCTCCATCCCAGTCAAATAGCAGCAGCAACAAGCCCCATTCTTCATCGTCCAACCTTGCGTCGAGGAGCTAGCGCGCCGACGACAGTGCATCAGTCGCGCCTCGTCAAGGACGGAATCCACACTGAGACTCCCCTTAGAGATCTCTCTACCCCACCAATGTTCAATCTCTGCGGAATAATACTCGTCAGTATTTTGAATCCAACATCAAGAAGCGATGTCGGCATGTAGCTGCTTGGCTGTGAAGAGCCACCACTGCTTGAAAAAAAATCAACGATAGACGCTTCCCGCCACTGCCCCGGAATGACTTTCTGTTGACAGCATGTGTTGCACTGGCCCCAGAGAACCCCAAGTGCCGCATCATTCTGCAAAAACAAAATGACTTGCACAAATCAGGCGGCACGCCGTCGCTGCCAGTTGCTTGCTTCCTTTTTCGAGACTTGACTGCTTGACGAAAACTCGTCCAATGTGAAGTCGTGCGCCTTCACATGTAGAAATCCAACTTCTTGATGCATGTTAGGGAATGCTAGGCAATTCTCCAAAATATTGAACAAGTTGCCAATGCTCTGTCTGCAAGTAATCGGCCATCGCGTCTGCTGCGAACTCGGCGGCCACAAGGTCCCCCTGAGATTTCGACGCCGCCCATGCTGAGTAGACCGGCCGCTCCTCAGATACCATATCGTTCCCCATCCACCGCGGTCGATTGAATATTCCAGCAATTTGTTTCGTTCCGCCTGTGCTGAAGATTGCATGCGTTCGCTCAATCTTCTGACCTCGTCATTGTCGCAATTGCGCTGCCTACGCCGGTTCCTTTACTCGACAAGTTACAACATCCGCTGCGTGATCCACGGTTTGCGCAAAGTTGCGGCGGGGGCCAGTATACTCTCTAGGGTCTATTTTCTTTGGCCAATTGCAAAAGTCACGTCGCGATTGTCTTGGCTTTCGCGCGAACGAACTCGCACAGCGGTTCGTTGTTCCATTCTTCGATGAATCCACATGCGTACTTTTGTTCCACCCCATGTTCCTGGAGAGCTGTCAGATCCAATTGTTGTTTTCGGAAATGGCGATCAGCAAGGGAAGATGGATTTTCATGTCCACAACGGTAATGGAGCTATGTGTTTGTAAAATGCTGTATATATCCCTCCAGCTGCTCCGTACATCTGATACCCAAGCTGCCTCGACGATCACGTGGTCAAAATGCTCGGAATTGATAGGAGTTACGTCGCCAATTGGTCGCACGCCCAATTTGTAATAAGTAGCTGATGACTTAGGACCCACGTCGAAAAATGCGTTCGCGACGCACGCTTCCAAACCAGCACGTGGTTCCACAAAGAGTTTTCCATTTGACAAGGCATCCCAAGTACAACGATTGTTCTCGAACACGAGCTGTCCTAGTGCATCCTTTGCCCCGGCATATTGTTGCAACAACCTGGCATTGAAATCGCCAAACAGTATCGTCGGCCAATGGGACTGGCATCTCTTGACGAATTTGCCCAGCTCATTAAAAGAAATCGCGACGAGAGTTGTAGTCGCACTTCATTTTGAAAGCGTGGGCTGTAACCAGCGCCCATACACCTGCTGCGACTCGTATCCGCAAGCTCGCCATACTGTCGCCGTGTTGCAAATTTCAGTTTGCAGCATCTTTCGCCCAAGGTGGAATTATAAACCCCACTCGAGCGCATTCCCTGCTGTTTTTCTCGGCCCCAGGTAACATGGAAAGGTGGTCTTCGAATCCGTTGACCAGCGATCCACGACAGCGCATTTCTTGGAGACAGCACCGCAACGTCCAGATCTTTCATATGTTTGCTCACTCCGCACAGCTTGCGCGGCTGGTCCTGGCTGATGCCTGCGACACTCCTGGGCGCAATCCTCCAACAAAAAGCTCGCCAAAATGAAAAGGTTACCCATCCGCCGGTCGGAATTGCATTCGAATTGCCGACTCGCCGTCCGAATCCGCATTCATGCGACCTGCCGCCTTTCCTACCTGCCCCCCACCTTTCCCAGCCCGGCCCAACGCATAATTCGCACGGGTGGTTAACTGCTGTACTGCAGGACTTTGCGCAAGTTCATCCCAAGAACCCCACAAACCATCCCATTTGATCTGAAGAGTGCTGTTGGAGACGCTCACAGTGACCACTGGTTCTTTCGCAACTATTAGCTCGTATGTGGTCGCGTCCACTTTCACCTCTGACTTCGAGCACCCCCAAATCCAAAAAAAGTGCACAGACCGAACAGGAAGCTCTCCAGCACACGCTTCTGGCACGTGTCCACGCCGTGCTTGAACGACATTGTATCTGCGCTTTCCCAATGGTGTTCACGAGATTGTCTCGAACTGTGACGGACCCGAACTCTGCGAAAACGATGCTGTTGAAGTCGTCCCTCACGAACAGTTCGAATGGTTCAGGTGCTTCGTACGCCGGACTTGATCTTGGAGGAACTGCACGGCGGAGCCAAGATCAAGAAGATCCCCCACACCACCAGTCACTGCATTGCAGTCCCGATCCTGTTTCGAAGTGAACTCCACGAACTGGCGCTCCAACTACAGCAATTTGCCCTCAATGTGAAATGGAGTATTTGCCCCAGCGCGCAGATGGTGGTGCTATCGACGGAGACCTTGTACCAGACTGTCCCAAAGCATATATGGGATCGTTGGCATATCGTATTCGACAGGGTCCGAGGCCTCCTGCAGCTCTCCTCTGGAAATTCCGCGTTCCTTGATAGCTTCGATGTCCCTGTGGATGGGATTCGAATACAGCTTGAACACGCCCTCCATTGCGGTCATGTTGATGCCTCCCGTGGCAGATCCGGCTACACCTCCTCCTCCCTTCTCAATTGCGTTCTTGCTGATCTCCCACGTCGACGCCCCCGCTCCTCCTTTTCCTACTCCACCTTCTGCCCCAGTATCGTCATCAAACCAGTCCATCTCGTGAAGTGAGCTGTGGATCCAATGTTGCTCCAACAAATGCCTGACCGAAGAACCTGGCAGTCGCTTCTCACCACCGCCTGAAGAAGCCGTCAAAGATGGAAGATGTAGAGAGTAAGAGCTGGAGAATGCGATCAGTGAGTGAGCAAGTGGGCTTGAGTATTCGGCTTGAGCCTTGAATGTGAGCTTGAGCCCTAACTTGTATCAAACTGTATTGCGTTGCTTTCTAGTGCAGGCGTTGCCTTCCAGTGCAGGCCAGTGTTCTGTGTTCCCATGTGCTGTTTTGTGTTGTGTTGCACTAGATTGTCTTGTCTGTGTGCGGGAAGCTCTGTACTCTGTCATGTTACGTTCTAAATATGATTGACAAGAAAAGGAAAACACAACTCCACGAGCTGGGGAACAACGATCACCATCACCCTACACATCCCCGTCCTCATTTCTCCTCCTCCTCCTCCTCCTCCTCCTCCTCGTCCTCCTCCTCCTCGCTCCGTCCTTGTGGGTATGGAGTTTGTCTGAACACTGGGCGGGCGAACTCATTCAGCTCGTGTTCGGAAGCTCCTCGCTCCTCTGACATTCGAAAAAAGGCCTGCGAACTGGGTCTCCAGGGTGACCGCGTCGCCCAGCCGGTACGATGGGAAGCCGAGGCAGACGGGCCGCAGCGCCTGGCGGGAAGGTGTAATCAAAATGTCTGCCGTAAAACACCCTTCGATAAAAAAAATCGATATATATATATATATATATAAAGAAAAAAACAAAAAAAACAAAAAAAAAAACAAAACAAAAAAAAAAAAACTGTGATGACCACAAGAATTAAGACAACAACAAGCACGAGGCGGACTTGAGGCAACTGCGCGGTCTGGGGTCCTCGGGTTCGCCTCGTCCCTGGGATCGGGGCGGGCGTGAGGGCCCCGGGGCAAGCCTGTGCACACATCATGCGATTGCCTTCGTGATTACATATATGTAGAAATCTAGATGTATAAACATATGTGCATATATATATATATATAATATCTCCCCCCACACACACACACACACACAATTTTCCCGCGAGTATTCCAACCGTGAACTGTCAATACAGACGCGGCGCAACCACGGACGCATCAATCAAGGCATGCATCAACGATCTCTATGTGACTTTTCTACACAATTTCGTTCACGGTTTTTCTCACTGTGACCATGGGCGCCGCGAAGCCACGGACGGAACAAGCATGCCCCACTGATACCCATCCAAGCAGCCCTCACCAGGCAAGCAGGAGCACCACACGCTCTCCAGTGCCCAGAACGACAACTCGGCGGTCTGGGTAAGCCTCAACGCGGGCACAGGCGCCAAGCGGGCACAACGCCACGCCACGATGCTGACAGGACAGCAACACATGTCATCATATAGTGTTCAGAATGTACGACGGCAGCGAGGAGCAGGAACAGGTGGAGAGAAGGCATTGGAGGTAGAAGGATGCAAGGTGGAGCACAAGAAGTGGCTGGCGTCCGGAACGTGTCTTGGTCGCCTTTCTTCCCACCTGGTCCCTGCCCCCGTCGCTCCTCCCTTTGATGTTCTATCACTCCGCCGATACGAAACGACGTCCAAAACTCAGGAGGCCCCGTTGAGCGCCGGGACTGGGCACAATGTTGTTAGGGTGCCCGTGCCACCTGCTTCCACACAGCTCGACCACCCGCCCAAGAAAGTTCGACCTAGGCCGGCACTGTGCTCGTGCGAAGTCCCACACCGAACCCACACTTTAAGTTCGAATCGAGGAGATTCGACCGGAGGTTGAAGCTGCTTTTGATGATGAAGCTCTAAGCGAAAGCCATACTGTCAACTTTTCGAGCCAACGGATATGAACATGTCAATACCAATGGGGTTGCCCAGGTCGCAGCGGCGATTCCTTTTGGGACTCCGTCAGGAACGCAGATCGAGCATCTTCGACTCGAGGTCGAAACGGCAATTCTGTTTCGAAATTAACCAAGATACTATGTCGACCGAATGTCTACCCCAAGCCCTGGTAGAGTGTTTCGGGGGAATACACATCGGATCGGCACTTCCGTGGCGCCGGTGCATGTGCTTGCGTCACTGAACTGTGGACGCCGGTGCTGCAACGCAGTCTTTCATGCATCAGCAGTTGGTATCTGCCCATCTGCCGTTAACTCCCTCCTACAACTGCGGGATCATCTGCACCTGATCGGACAAGTACGGGAAGCGCCGATTTTGCCCATTGGGTGACGACAGGGCGGCGGATGACGAGGATGACAGCGTGGATGACGGGGAGAGCAGCGTTGGGAGCAGGAGGACAACGAGCAGAAGACAAGCGCGAGGACGAGGAGGAAAAGATGGAAGGACGATTCGAGGAGGAACGAAGCGGAGGAGGAGGAGGAGGCGAAGGAGGACAACGAGGACAAGGAGGAGGAGCAGAAAAAGGACGACATCGAGAAAGGAGGACCGCAAGGCGCCCGAGGAAAAGGATGTCGAAGAAGAGGGGGTGTCCGCGTGATCATTCGAGGCTACCCTGGGGGCTGTCAGGGCCATCTGGAGCTATCTTGGGGCATCCTGGGGGCCTCTTGGGGGCCTATCGGCGTCTTCTTGGGGGCTACTGGGGTCTTCTTGGGTTGTTTGGGCGTGTCTTAAGGTTTTGTAGGGGTTCTCTCAAGCCGTTGTGGTGTCATCTAGGGCTGTCCTGGGCCGCCTGGGGGCATCCTGGGGCTCTCTTGGGGGCCTTCTGGGGCCCTCTTTGGGTCGTCCGGGGGCGCCTTTTGGAGTTTTTGGGTGCCACGGTGGGCCTTGCCAAAAGCGACTCCAACACGATGCTGATTTGGGGGCTCCTCCGAAGCCCTTGTTTTGAGGATGTCCCGAGCGAAACGGCTTTTTGTCAAATCCGGATCGGACAAGAGCAAGAAGCGCCGAGTTTGTCCATCGGGCTCGCAGAAGGAAGGAAGAAAAGGATGATGGCGACGACAAGGCGGCGCACCACGAGGATGACGGCGTGGATGACGGGGAGGACAAAGATGGGAGCAGGAGGACAACGAGTAGGAAGACACGCGCGAGGACGAGGAGGAAAAGATGGAGGAGGACGAGTGCGAAGAGGAACGGAGCCGAGGAGGAGGAGGAGAAGGAGGAAACGGAGGATAAAGAGGAGAAGAAGGACGACGACGACGACGACGACGACGACGACAACGACGACGAAAGGCGACGGTAAGGAGCCCGAAAAAAAGAACGTCAAAGGAGGAGGGGTCATCGTGATGTTTTGAAGCTACCCTGGGGAATGTTGGGGCCGACTGGGGATATCTTGAGGCATCCTAGGGGCCTCTTTGGGGCTTGCCGGCGTCCTCTTGGGGGCTACCGGGGTCTTCTTGGGTTGTCTGGGCGTGCCTTAGGGTTCTGGTGGGGTTCTCTCAGGCCGTACCAGCGCGATTTGGGGCTGTCTCGCGCCCCTCTTTACGACATCCATGGGGCCTTTGGGTGCTCTTTTGGGCCCCGGTGGGCCCCTGGAAAAACGACTCCACGACGATGTTGATTCGGAGCCCCCTCTAAAGCAATTTTCTAAGGATGTGCCGAAAGAAACTGCAATTCTTCAGAAATCCGCCGCCGTGTTGCCCCGTGCGCCTGGTGTCGCTAGGATAGAGAAGACCTGACCTGACAGAAACGGGAACCGTCGCTCTTGTCCACGAAGCGACGACCAACTGAACTGCTGTCGATTCCTTGTGTTGGTCAGCCGTGCTCCTGTGGTCTGCTGTACTCCTGTGGTCTGCCATACTCATGTAGTCTGTCATGCTCTCAGGGTCTGCCATGTTGGTCTGCCGTGCTGGTGTGGTCTGCTGTGCTGGCCGGCCGTGTTCATGCCTGCCCCGTGCTCTTGTGGTTTGCCGCGTTGCTGTGGCTACCCGTGCTCATCCGCCGCGCTGCTGTGGTCAACCGTGCTGGTTTGCCGTGCTAGGTCTACCGTGCTGTTGTGACCTGCCGTGATGGCCTGCAATGCCGGAGCAACGACACCAGGGCAGAGCGCCGTAACCCCAGGCCGGCCACATGGCGATTGCAAGGCCCAGGCGACAGCGCCAGGGCCAGCAGCAGCGGGGGCACCCGCCGAATCGCTGGCGAGCGGTGAGAGCGGGGGGCAGCGGGGTCAGGCCCAGGCTGGCGCACGCACCACAGCCGAGAGCAGGCGGCGCCAACCTCCGTGGTGGCGGGGCGAAGGCCACCAGCAGCGAGAGCAGCGCCAGGGCGCAGGCGCCCTGCACGCACCGTGCCGGCGCAAAGGCAGGGCCGACGGGGGCCGCGCAAGGCCCGCGCTAGCGGCGCGCACGCCTTGCGGGGGCCTAGCGGCAGCAGCTCCCCGGCAGGAGGAGGGAACCAGCGCACCCGAACCCAGCGCGGAAGGGAAGCACTTAACAGGCGCGAGAGCAGGTGCACTAGCAGCGGAGCCGCGAGAGGGCAGAGCCGCAGGGGAGATGAGCGCACCACCAGGGGCGGGTGGTGCGACCCAGGAGGGGAGAGAGGAAGGCGCGCCACCTGGGGTGGATGGCGCCCCCTTCAGGAGTGGCGGACACGGGGCACCTAACTGGCGCGCGCGCGCAGGCGGGTGCAGGGGCGCAGCCAGGGCGGCCGGCAAGCCACCTGAGATAGATGGCGCGCCCAAGAGGAAACCACCGAACTGGTGCACAAGCAGGTGGATCAAAGGCAAACCACCTCCTGGGATGGAAGGCGCCGAGCCGTATTCTCAGATCTCGGCAGGAGACCCGTTGCCGCCTCAGTCTGTCCAGGAGCGCGCGCCGCGCCCTTCCTGACCGAAGGCAAACCGGGCCTGCAGCTACAGTCCTGGCATGCTGACTGGTCGTTGGCTGGCCATGAAGCGCCGCTGGCCCCTTGCTGTCTGGGCCCTTCCCGCCAGTGGCCCCGGCCTGCCGGTCCTGCTGATGCTGCTGCTGCTGCTGCTGCGGCGGCGGCGGCGGCGGCCGCCGCTGCTGCCGCGGCGGCGGCGGCCAGACGCCGCCCCAATTGACGCATGCGCGGCGGCGCCGACGGAAGCGCTGAGACCGAGCCAGGTCGCCCAAGAGAAAATGTCGAGGCTTGCACCGCCCTTTGCCCTGGCCCTCCCGTCTCTCTGGTCGCAGGCCCTATGCCAACCTTCTACAAACATCGCGCCGCTGGTGCCCTCGGCGCGATGGGCGGTCTCCAGCCAGGGCTCGCCCCTGCGAACCCCGCCAGCCAGGAAGCTTCGATTTCAACGCATGGGTGGAACCACAACTCAGTCACTCCAACTGGCCCCGCCACCGCTCCCCTAGGACAGTCTCGCCGAAGCCAATCACCCGCAGCATCGGCCATCGCGCTCCCGCCAGCGGGGCGGGAGCTGTCGCCGGCCCCAGCCACGATGCACCCACCCACCTGGACGTCGGACGCAGGGCCGCCATGCTGTTACGCGACCATGGGCCCCACGTTCGGAACCTACCCCTTGCGGCGCGCACTGTCCGAAGTGGCCTCGGCCCGTGGACTGGGGCCGTTTGCAAGGGTGGGCGAACCCGACGAAGACGGGTGCGGCGCGCCACCTCTGTCTGCTTCGTTGGGGGCCCAGTCTGAATTGTTGCGATGCCCATGTCTCCTCTGCATGTTTTCGCGATCTGCGAAGCAGTCGTCGCGCCTGAAAAGTTGGAGTATATCTCTGGAGTCCCAATCGCGATGCGATATGCACAAGTGTCTCTGTTGCACAGGAGACCCTTGTTTGCACTCGTACGGTGGTTGCCACACATGTCTGTTGCCCGATGCGTTCTCGTCCTCCTAGTTTTTGCACGTTTGGACTGCTGCGCATTGATTGTAACGCCTTGCAATGTGTTGCGCATCTGGCATTAAAAATTCCTTCCCTTCCTTACCCCAAGGCTGCCGCGTCCACTAGCGGCCAGCGCGGTCCCCCCGCGCGCCCACGGCGAGCGCGGCAGCGCACACCAAAGGCGCGGAGGGATTTCGGCCGAAGCCAGGGCAACCCGAACCTCCCGCCAAATAGCCGCCTTGCCGCCGCGGGCGGGTCGTTCCCGCCGCCGGGGTGGTGGCGGCGCAGGCTGCCGTCGCAGCGGTGGCGCTGCAGGTGGCTGTCTAGGTCGTGGTGTTGGTCGCCGCGCTGGCGGTGGCGGGGCTGCTGGTCGTAGTCGTTGTCTTGGTGGTGGTGGTGCTGCTGGTGCTGCTTGTAGTCGCCGTTGTGGTAGTGGTTGTCCTGGTGCGGCTGGTCGCCGTGCTGCCCCTGGTCGCCGTCGTGGTGGTGGTGGTGGTACTGGTCGCCGTGCTGGCGGTGGTGGCGCTGCTGGTCGTAGGCGTGGTGGTGGTGGTGGTGGTGTTGGTGGTGGTGCTGCTGCTGCTTGTTGTCGCAGTTGTGGTGGCGGTTGTCGTGGTGCTACTGGATGCCGTGCTGCCCCTGGTCGCCGCCGTGGTGGTGGCGGTGCTGGTCACTGTGCTGGTGGTGGTGGCGCTGCTGGGAGTAGTGGTAGTGGTGATAGTGGTGGTTCTGCTGCTGCTGCTGCTGCTGCTGCTGCTGCTGCTGCTGCTGCTGCTGCTGCTGCTGCTTGTAGTAACTGTAGTGGTAAAGGTTTTCCTGGTGCGGCTGGTCGCCGTGCTGCCCCTGGTCGCCGTCGTGGTGGTGGTGGTACTGGTCGCCGTGCTGATGGTGGTGGCGCTGCTGGTCGTAGTCGTCGTGGTGGTGGTGGTGATGGCGCTGCTGCTTGGTGTCTCAAATGTGGTGGCGGTTGTCGTGGCGCTGCTGGTCGCCGTGCTGCCCCTGGGCGACGTCGTGGTGGTGGTGGTAGTGCTGGTCGCCGTGCTGGTGGTGGTGGCGCTGCTGGTCGTTGTCGTAACGGTGGTGGTGCTGCTGCTGCTTGTTGTCGCTGTAGTGGTAGTAGTTGTCGTGGCGCTTCTGGTCGCCGTGCTGCCCCTGGTCGCCGTCGTGGTGGTGGTGCTGGTCGCCGTGCTGATGGTGGTGGCGCTGCTGGTCGTAGTCGTAGTGGTAGTGGTGGTAGTGGTGGTGGTGGTGCTGCTGCTTGTTGTCGGTGGTGGTGGTGATGGTCGCCGTGCTGGTGGTGGCGGCGGTGCTGGTCGCCGTGCTGGTGGTGGCGGCGCTGCTGGTGGTAGTCGTGGAGGTGGCGGTGATGCGACTGCTGCTTGTTGTCGCAATTAGGGTAGTGGTTGTCGTGGTGCTACTGGATGCCGGGCTGCCCCTGGTGGCCGTCGTGGTGGTGGTGGTGCTGGTCGCCGTGCAGGTGGTGATGGCGCTGCTGGTCGTAGTCGTAGTGGTGGTGGTGGTGCTGCTGCTGCTTGTTGTCGCAATTGTGGTAATGGTTTTCATGGTGCTGGTGGTCGCCGTGCTGCCCTTGGTCGCCGTCGTGGCGGTGGTGCTCGTCGCCGTGCTGGTGGTGGTGGCGCTGCTGGTCGTAGTTGTAGTGGTGATGGTATTGCTGCTGCTGCTGCTGCTGCTGCTGCTGCTGCTGCTGCTGCTGCTGCTGCTTGTAGTCGATGTAGTGGTAGTGGTTGTCCTGGTGCGGCTGGTCGCCGTGCTGCCCCTGGCCGCCGTCGTGGTGGTGGTGGTACTGGTCGCCGTGCTGGTGGTGGTGGCGCTGCTGGTCGTAGTCGTAGTGATGGTGGTGGTGCTGCTGCTGCTTGTTTTCGCACTTGTGGCAATGGTTGTCGCGGCGCTGCTGGTCGCCGTGCTGCCCCTGGTCGCCGTCGTGGTGGTGGCGCTGGTCGCCGTGCTGGTGGTGGTGGCGCTGCTGGTCGTAGTCGTCGTAGTTGTGGTGGTGGTGGTGGTGATGGTGCTGCTGCTGCTGCTGCTTGTTGCGCGGTTGGCGCTGCTGGCCGCTGTGCTGCGCCTGATCGCCGCCGTGGCGGTGGTAATGCTGGTCGCCGTGCTGGTGGCGGTGGCGCTGCTGGTCGGAATCGTGGCGGTGGTGGTGATGCTGCTGCTTGCTGTCGCCGTTGTGGCATCCTGGTGCGGCTGGTCGCCGTGCTGCCCCTGGTCGCCGTCGTAGTAGTGGTGGTGCTGGTCGCCGTGCGGAAGGTGGTGGCGCTGCTGGTCGTAGTTATGATGGTGGTGGTGCTGCTGCTGCTTGTTGTTGCCGTTGTGGTAGTGGTTGTCATGGTGCTGCTGGTAGCCGTCGTGGTGGTGTTCGTGGTTGCGGTGTTGCTGGTCGCCGTCGTCGTGGCGCTGGTGGTCGTAGCGGTGCTGCTGGTCGCCGTCGTGGCGGAGGTTATGGTCGCCGTCGCGGTCGCGGTGGCGTCGGTGCTGGTGGCGGTGCTGCTGGTGGTAGTAGTCAATTGTCGTCGTGGTGGTGCTGCTGCTGTTCGCAGTTGCGATAACCATTGCAATAAATGTAGTGCTGCTCGCAATCGCTCTGCTGTTTGCGTTCCTGCGAGCTGCCGCGCCACGCCCTGCTCGCCCGCGCCCCCCGCCGCGGGGGCCGGCGCGCTCAGGGGGGCGCCGATAGGACGCCCCCTCGCCAGGGACCCCCCCCGTCTGTCGCTAGCGTCTCAGAGGGCACGTCCTTGAGTAGGCTCGCTGCAAGGGCGTCGCGGATGGCGCGCGCCAACATGCCGCTCCACCTGCGCAGCAGCGCGGTCGCGAGCGACCCTCGCAGCGCCGCCGGCGCGCTCCTCGCCCGGGCTCGGGCCAGGGCAACGAGGAGCTCGCACGCCCCCTCGCCCCAACGGCCGCCCGTCTCTGCTCCAGCCGCGAGCAGGTAGCCCCGCCGCGAGCCCACCAGCTCAGGGCAAGTCGAACGCTTGCGGCGCCTCGCCCGTTTCAGCGCGAGTCCGGGGCTGAGCCTCCGCGCAATCGGCCTGCCAGTGGCCTCAGCGGGGAGACGATGCAGGCGTCGATGGCGAGCTGCCTGCCGCGGTGGGCAGGGAGGCCGTTGACCGCCTCCTCGATGCGGCGCCAGTCGTTGGCGGCAATGCCCGGAAGGTTCATGTCGCGCAGTAACACGATGGCGCGGACACGGCATCCTGCCCCCCGGCACACCCGGGCCAACATCCGCTCGATGGGAGCGCCGCGCTTGAGCAAACGTCCGCTGCGGGGGCACGCTGCTCTGCGGTCGCCTCGCTGTCCAAGCGGGCCCGGCAGGAGCGCCCGTTGCACCTGCGCGCCCGGAAACGCTCTGGCGCGCAAGTGCTGCCCGGCGTCGAGGGGATCAGGGTCAGGGGCCGTCCGCCGCAGCGACCCCCCTGCGAGTCGAGCATCCACTGCTGGTCGTCCGTGAGGGCTGTGAGCACGACTTCCTCTCTGTAGCGCCGCTCTCGTGCTGCTGACGCGCGGTACTGCCATCCGCGCTTCCATTCACCTGGCTCTGCCTCTGTCTGCTCAGGGCGCGCGCCGCCCCAGACGCCCTGCCAAGTCGGGCGCGTCGCAAAGCCGTCGCGGGCGGCGGCAGCCGCGCAGCCCTCGCGCGCTCTGCCTCCTGGAGGCACGCGGCCGCGGAACCAGTCCCGACGCGGAGGGCGGCTGCGAGCTCCGTTGCCGCCGCGGTGTCTCTCCGTCGCAACATGGGGAGCGCGCCCGCCCAGGACGCCAAACGCGCGCTCTCGGCCGTGCGCACGGCAGACATCAGCGATCTCACTCGGAAAAGTCTCTCTGCGCCAGCTGGCCCAAGGTCGAGGCCGAGGAGGCCGGGGAGCGCCTCCTGCAGCCCGCGGTCGCGGGCCTCGGCGCAGGGCCGCGACAGCGATGGAGGCAGCGCGCGCAGGACGCGGCACCGCGCAGCACAGCAGGAGCGCCCAAGCCCACTGAAGGTCCGGCAGGTTTGGAAGGTTCCGCAAGAAGCTGCGCTCCTCGCCCGCCCTCTCCCGCGCCCACTGGGCCGCGAACGCTGCGGTGCCCAGGGGCGCGCCGAATACCTCGCGGCCGCGGTGCTCCTCGGGCGCGCCGGCGCCGCCAACCCACACGTCTGTGCCCAGCGACAGGTGTCCTGTCGGTTCGAAGCCGCCTCGGTTCCACACGCGGCACTTGCCCAGGTTTGCCTCGACGCCCGCCCCCACTCACGCATGGCAGCGGCGGCCTCGCGCAAAACCTCCGCAGCGCGCTCTGATCTGCAGACAACGCGCACGTCGCCCAGGCACGCGAGCAGCGTCTCGCCCGGCCGCAGCCGCGCACGCGCCATCTCCAGGGCGCCGTGCTGCGCCAGGGAGTAAAGTGCCGGCATGAGCGGGTCGCCTTGCTCTCCGCCCTTCCCCTGCCCCACCTCGCGCGCGACTCATGCGTCGTCTGTCCAGAGGTACGTCGATGGCTTGCCGTAGGAAAGCATGACAAACGGAACCAAGGCAGAATCCCCCTGCAGCGACAGGAGCTTCTCGATCACGCGGTCGCGGCGCACGTGGTCGAAGGCCCCGACGCCGCCGAGGCTGGCGACGGTTGCCGCGGGGCCAAAGTCCGCGGCCGCGCGAAGGTGGCGGGCAGCACTGCCCGTGCCAGCTCGCGTGGACAACACGCACTGGAACGGCGCACAAGAATCTTAAATTTCGGGCCCGACCTGCTGGGAGAGGGCCTTGCCGACAAACCTCCGAAAGGCGTCCCCTGCGACAATGCCTCGCGCGCGGCCGTTGTCTTTCACCAGCGCCGTCGCGCGGCCCGCCCCGAGGGCGCGGGCGACCTCGGCCCGGGCGCGGCGATTCGCCGCGACAGCTTGCAGCTCGAGCGCTTCATGTTCGTCCAGGGCCAGCTTGAGTAGTCCGAAGCTGGCACCGCTCAGGGTGCTGTTTTTTTCGGCATGGTTCAAACCTTGTTGCGCCCTTCTTCCTGCCCCTTCGCACCTTGCCTGCATTGCCTTGTTTTGTTTGCTATCATGCTCCGCTCTCTCTCTCTCCCTCTCTCTCTCTCTCTCTCTCTCTCTCTCTCTCTCTCTCTCTCTCTCTCTCTCTCTCTCTCTCTCTCTCTCTCTCTCTCTCTCTCTCTTTCTCCCCTCTCTCTGCTGGCCGCGCACGCGGGGCCATCGCCCCTGCATCTCCTATGGGATGGGGGCGTCGGTCTCAATTTCGAAAACCGGTGCCATCGCCAGGGGGCGCGCGTGGAAGGGCGGGTCGGCGCGGGCTGCGAGCTCGCCTAATTTCACGGGGGGCCTTACGAAAGGCGGTGAAAGACCCGACCGTAGACGGGGGCACCCCGCGCTCCTCCTCGCCCACGTCCCCCTGGGAGACGCGCCGGGGCGCCAGGGGGGCCCGCGGGCCCGGCGCGCGCGGCGTGCGGCGCGGGGCGAACGCCCGACCTGTCGCCGCCAACGCGGGGGCCAAAAAAAATGAAGCGGCGCTGACGCCGCGCTCGACCGCAGCAGCCTGGGAATCGAAGCTTGGCACAGCAGCTACATAGTCGCGCCGGGGTTCAGCTACGTCGCGCTCGTCGCTCGCGCCCGGTCTTGGCTCGGAGAGACGGGCTGTTGGAGCGCACTTGGGCAGCTCATTGGCGGGTCGGGGTCTGCTGTTCCGCGCGCGGGCATGCGCTGGCTCCGCTTGCGTTCAGGAGACTCCCTGCTGCCGTGGGCGCGCCAGCTGGGGTTCCTGCTGGGGCGGTTGACCAGCGGTGCATGACGAGCTCAGCAGAGTCGGCGCCGCAATTGCCTGGCTCGCCAGGGCGGGCGCCAGCGCGCCCTCGCACCAGCGGGGGCCCGCGCGCCAAAGGCCTCCCCCCAGGAACCCAGGAACGATTCCCACGCAGACATTAGGCTGCCCCCCCGCTCGCATCCCCACCCTGCCCCCGCCACCGGAAAAATCAACCAACACGCGCAAAGAAAATTACTCCGACGGTAGGACCCCACATGAGAATCTGTTTAGCTTACCCTTTGCCCTTTCCTCCTCCCCCTGGCGGACACCCTCTCCTCTCGTCCTCTGCACTGCCCTCTCTTCCTCATTCTATTCCTCTTCCTACTTATCCTCCTCCTCCTCCTCCTCCTCCTCCTCCTCCTCCTCCTCTCGCGCCACCTCCTCCTCGTCGTCGCCCTCCCCCATGCCCCTTCCCTCCTCATCCTCCTGCTTCTTTTCCATGTGCACCTCCCGTTACCCCTGGTCGTCGCAAGCAACTCGATTTTCCTCGGCGCCGTCGCCGCGTCGGCCAGCGCGCGCGCGTTTGCCGACGGCTAGATCGCGAAGCCGCCGGGGCAACCCTTCGGGCCAGGCCGTTGGGGCAACCTCGCAGGCCGCAGGGGCGCGGGAGCCAGCCGTTGGGACAACCCCGCGGGCCTCTAGGCGCGCGCCGCGGCGCTCAGGCGGGCGGCAGCACGAAGCCCAGCTCTGCCGCGAGCTGCTCCGCCTCAGCCCTGGAATCCACCGCTCTCTTGTCGAACTCCTGGAGCGCCTTCCGCAGCAACGCCGGCGGCCCTCGCTCCAGGAACTCTCGCGCTGGCGGCCGCAGGATCAGCATGTCCCGCATGCACGTGGCGCGGGAGAACATGACGTAGAGGTGCAGCCACCACATCTCGTCCGACATGCCCGTGCGGCCAGCGTCCTCATCCCTGGCGCAGACGATGGTGACGCCCTTGCGCAGCGTCTGGCCCTGCGACAGCGTGGAGGTCAGGTAGGACGCGTGCGTCAGGGTGAACCCCGAGCGGCGCACAGTGTGCGCCCCCGAGCTTTGCCACGTGAACTCCTGCTCGCTGGGCCTGAGCATGAGCATCCTCGCCCACGCTTCGGCCTCGCCGTCGTCGGCAGCGCCATCGGCGCCCTGCAGCAGCACCTCGGCGACCTCCTTGTAGATCGGGGACTCCTGGAAGCCGTGCACCTGCAGCCGGATTCCCTGCGGTAGGAAGCGGGGGCGGAAGAGCTGGCCCGGCGCGCGCTCCTCGTAGTCCCGCTCGTCGTCTGCGTGAAACTCGAAGGACACGATGGTGGCCCGTTGCTCCTGCACGAGCCCCAACTTCTTCTTGAGCTCCTCCTGCACGGCCGTGAACCAGACCTCCATGCCGACGCGTGCCGGTAAGACGCCGTGGATGTCTCCCGTCTTGTGCATGTTCGGGACGTTCAGGAGGCGCCGGCCTGCGTCTGGGTCGCCTTGAATCGTGCCGCACTCGTCTACGGCCTGCAGGAAAACGATGGGGACGCCGAGGCGCCGCGCGTCGCGACGAGCGCGCGTGTTGATCCACCTCGCCAGCGTCTCCCAGTAGATGCCCATGCCGTAGCCGAGCCAGAAATTATCGTGCTGGTGCCGTGGGTCCAGGACGCCGTGGTTGTCCGAGGCCAACGTCTTCTCCCAGGCAGACCAGACCTCTGGTGGGAAGCGCTTGCCCTCGCGCACGCAGCCCAAGAACGCGATCAGAGGGCCCCCCGCCTCGAAGCGCTTTGCGCCCTTCAGCTCGAAGACGCAGGGGATCTGAGAGAAAACCCTGATGGCGTGCTGGATCTCCACCGTCGGCGGCTCCGCGTACTTGTACGACCCTTTTCCGTCGTCCAGGCGCTCGTTCACTTCCGTCAGGAGCCCGATGCTGCCGGTGGGCTTCAGCTGCAGGAAATCGCCGAGGTGCAGCACGATGGGGACGCGTCCGAAGTGGTGGTGCGGCCGCTTGTAGGTGGACTCCTGCACGTCGTGCGTGTCACTGCGTCCGTGGTAGGCGCGAAGGCCCAGCGCGTTGTACAGAGCTGCCGCCACCATGCTGACCTCCTCGATGACCAGAACGCGGACGTGCTCCCACAGCCATTTCAACCTCTTCTGCATGCCCCCCGGTCTCATCTTCGCTCTGATGTACTTCTGCACTCGCAGGGCACAGGCGTTGTGCAGCGTTCTCGCCTTCACAGTTTCCGTGGAGATGTTCTTCGCCTGCGCGTTCGACAAGGCCACGACCATCATGGCGCCCTTGTCCGTCGACGACGGGGGCCACAAATACCCCACCACGGGGAAGACGATCTTCTGCACCACGTGCGGCTTCCCCGAGCCGCCCTGGCCCAGCAGGAGCAAGTGCGTCACTTTTCTCTCGCTCCAGGGCTTCTTCTGCACGTCGTCCTCCCAGGCGTCGTCGCAGGCCTTGGCGAACTTTGCGACGAAGAGCGTCTGGCCCCGCGTGAGTCTCTCGTTCTCCGGCAACCCGGCGACCAGGGCGGCGATGCACGCGCTGGGCGTTGAGCACACGCTGCGGGCAAAACTGGCCGCAGCGGGGTCGGTGCCCACGCCGCCAGCGCTCTCGCCCTCGGCGTCGTCAGCGCCCGCGTCATCCTCGTCGCGATTGCCCTGGAGGCGTTCGTCATGCATGTTCCCCCAGGCGTGTCTCTCCTCGCGCGCTGCGGTCACCGGCGGTCGGTACCTGGCCGCGGGCGCGGGAGCGGTCGCGGCCTCCGTCGGCTCGGGCGCACCCGCGCCCTCGCGGGCCGCCTCGGACATGCACGGGAGCGCGAGGAGCTCCTTGGCCAACTTCGCGAGGCGCTTGCGGTGCGCGAAGTTCAGCACGTCCGCCATGTCCTGCTCCCCGTCAATGCCCCACGTCGGGACCAGCTGGAAGTGCGCTCCGACCGCCCTGGGAGGCGCGCCCGGGTGCCCCACGCCCTCGCCCGCCTCGGCGCCCTCGTCATGACCGGTGCCTCCACCAGTGGTCACCTTGAGGTACGCGCTCTGCACGGCCGCGTCGCTCTGGCACTGCCGAGGTTTCTTCTCCTCGCGCGCCAGGGCAATCCCCTCGAGGTTTGGCGCCACCTGCATGGCTATCATGGCTACTTCGCCCGTGTTCAGGCCGCAGGAGCTGAGGAGCCCAAAAAGCTCGCTCGGATGACCCGCTCGGGTTCGAACATGAAGTGCGTGCCCCATAGGGAGGGGGCCCCCGCCTGAGACTTCCTCGCAATTCACTCACAGACGAGGCTCCCGCTCGAGACTTCCTTCATATTCAAGCCTCAAGAACTCAAAAGTGACGACGGTTACAAGGTTCCGATGACCCGCTCGGATTAATTACATGATCGGCGGGCCCCATAAGGAGGGGGCTCCAGCCTGAGACTTCCTCGCAATTCACTCAGAGACGAGGCTCCCGCCTGATACTTCCTCCATATTCAAGCCTCAAGAGCCCAAAAATTGATGACAGTTACAGGATCCCGATGACCCGCTCGGATTAGTAACATGATCTGCGGGCCCCATAGGGAGGGGGCCCCCGCCTGAGACTTCCTCGCAATTCCCTCAGAGACGAGGCTCCCGCTTGATACTTCCTGCGTATTCAAACCTCAGAGGCCCAAAAGTGACGACAGTTACAAGGTTCCGAAGACCCGCTCGGATTAGTAACATGGTCTACGGGCCCCATAGGGAGGGGGCTCCCGCCTGAGACTTCCTCGCAATTCACTCAGAGGCTCCCGCCTGATGACGAAATTATGAGTGAGCGAATAATGATGATGAGTGTGTGATGAATGATGATGAGGAGGAGGAGGAGGAGGAGGATGATAAGGATGATGATGATGATGATGATGATGATGATGAGGATGATGATGATGATGACCACTGAGTGGGTGATCGAGAGATCACGATGGAGATGGTGACGATGAAGTTGAGAGTGGCGGCGGTCCTACCGTCGGAGGACCACTGAGGATGAGTGAGTGGGTGAGTGAGTGGGTGAGGACCTCCGAAGCCTACTGAGGATGAGTGAGTAATTGAGTGAGTGAGTGGGTGATCGAGTGGTGATGATGGTGACGATGTTGA